CCCCCCCCCAAAAGTCCCCCCCCCCCCCCCGGGTCCGGCTCAGGTTTCGCCCCTCCCCCACCCCCAGTAATTAATTCCCTCTCTGTTAATTAATCTCTGCTCGTTAATTAAGTGCTGCCGAGGTAATTAATGGGGAATTCATTAAGGGAATTAATTAAGGGATTTAATTTCCTCCCCCCCGGTAATTAAAGGTGTAATTAATTTAATTAATTGAGTGGATTAATGAGTGAATAGATTAATTAAAGGTCAATTAGAGAAATTGTAAATAAAGTAATTAAATGTAGTAATTAAATTTTAAAAATTGAATAAAATAAAAGTTGAATAAATAAAGTTAATTGAATAAGTAAGGAAATTAAATTAATTAAAGTTAATTAAATAAGTTAAATAAAGAAATTAAATAAATTTAATTAAATAAGCAAATTAAATAAATAGAATAAATAAAACAGATAATAAAATAAAATAAATTATATAAATTTAAATAATTAAAAAATTAATTAAATTAGCCCCCCCAACTAATTAATTACCACGATAATTAACAACGGCGAATTAATTAAATAAAACGGACCAAAATCAAGCAATCAAAATAAAAGAAATAAAAATAAGTTAAAATAAAAATCAAAATGAAAGAAATAAAAATAAATTAAAATCAAAATAAAAACAAAATAAAAACAAAATAAAAATAAAATAAAAATAAATTAAAATAAAAATAAATAAAAATAAAAATAAAAATAAATTAAAATAATAAAATAAAAATATATTAAAAATAAAATAAAATAAAATAAGAGTGAAAAGAAATAAAAAAACAAAATAAAAATAAAATAAAAGTAAAATAAAAATAAAATTAAAATTAAAAAATAAAAATAAAATAAAAATAAATAAAAATAAAAAAATAAAAAATTTAAAAAATATAAAAAATAAATAAAATAAAATAAAATAAAATAAAATAAAATAAAATAAAAATGAAAAGAAATAAAAAACCAAAATAAAAATAAAATAGAAGTAAAATAAAAATAAAATTAAAGTAAAATAAAATAAAAATAAATTAAAATAAGAATAAAATAAAAAAAAAAATAAAGATATATTAAAAATAAAATAAAATAAAATAAGAATAAAATAAAATAAAATAAAATAAAAATGAAAAGAAATAAAAAAACAAAAACAAAAAAAATAAAAGTAAAATAAAAATAAAATTAAAATAAAAAATAAAATAAAAATAAGAATAAAAATAAAAAGTAAAAAATAAAAAATAAAAAATAAAAAATAAAAAATAAAAATAAGAATAAGTTAAAATAAAAATAAAATAATAAAATAAAATAAAATTAAAGCAAAAAAATAAAAATAAAATCAAAATAAAATGAAAAATAAAAGTTAGAATAAAATAAAATAAAAAATTTAAAAAATAAAAAATAAAACTAGAACAAAATAAAAATAAAATTATAAAAGTAAAATAAAATAAAAATGAAATTAAATTAAAATAGAATTAAAACAAGAATAAAATAAAAATAAAGAAATTAAATAATTCCCCCCACCAAATTAATTCCCGCCCTTAATTAATTAATTACCCCCCCCCATTAATTACCAGCCTTGGCCTCGGG